CTGGAGTCAGAGAGGCAGTTATATGGCAAGTCCTTAGTCCATTCAGTCTTCCTGTCTTCTTGACAATTGTTCCTCCCTTCCCTATCTCAGGTGGCCATCTTCCTGTCTAGTTCTCTGAGACAGGGACTTGCACAGGTTCTCTGGCACATCCACCCACCTTCCAGTGTCTGCCCATGTACTCTCGCTCTCTGCCTACTCTCGTGGATCAGGGATGGGTACACTGCTGCCCAGGGCTAAATCCAGCCTGCCCGCCCCCTGGCCATGCTTATTCCCTTATGCATTATCTATGGCAGCATTTGTGCTGTAATGAGAGTTGAGCGGTTGCAGCAGAGACCTTGTGACCTGCAAAACCTAAAATGTTCACAGATATTTTAATGCATGGCCCATTACAGAAGAAGCTGGCTGACCCCTGGCATAGGTGAGCTGGCGATGCACTTGGTTAAGCCTCCACTTGTACTCTAGATCCCCTGCCTCCAGCCTCTTCCAGGACATTCCTCTATCAATCATCTTTATCTCTCCTGCAAGGTCAACAGTTTCCTGTCTATTGGATCACTCCCTTCATGCACAAATGTGTTATTTCTCCTATCTTAACTTTTTCTTCATTCTACTCTCCCAACCCATTTCTTTTGCTCCCCTTTGTGGCACAACTTCTTTAAAGAATTTATCCTCCCTGTCCCCAAATCCTCTCCTCCCATCCACTCCCCTGCCCCCACCCTGCCCCATATTGGGGACTGAACCCAAGCGTGCTTCACCACTGAGCTACATCCTCACCCATTTTTACTTTTTATTTTGAGAAAGGGTCTTGGTAAATTGCCCAGGCTAGCCTCGACTTTGTGATCCTCCTGCCGCAGCCTCCAGAGTCTCTGGGATCACAGGTGAGAGCCACTGGGCCTGGCCCATTTGCTCTTCATCCATTGTAATTAGGCTTCTGTCTCCACTACTTCACCGGAGTGGCATTTCTCAAAGTCACCGATGCTAAACCCAGCGCCAAGCCCTCACCCCCTTCTCCTTTCAGAAGCGTTGGTTCAGTCCAGCACTCTTCCTTCGTCCTCCCCAAACTCTTTTTTTTCTTTCACTTGGCTTGTAGGGCACCCTGCTCTCCTGGATTTTTTTTCCCCTTAACTCTGTGGATTCTCCATCTCTTTTTCTCCATCAAATTAATATTGGGATGCTTCAAAGGTCTAGGCTTGTTCTTCTTCCCCCCTCTTCTATCTATATTCACATTCTCCTTGATCTTATCCAGTCTAATGGTTTTAGATAAGAACTCAGATTGATATCAGCTCAGACCTTTCTCTTGAACTCCAGAACTGCCTGACCTAAGTAGTCTCATTGCCTCCTTCACTTGAATGATCCATAGTCTATTCTACAACTCGACACACCCAAAACAGACCCCGCCTCCCGCCTCCTGCCTCCTGCCTCCCTGCAGCGGCTCCATTGGCAGCCTTCCCCACCATTGTCAATGGCAACTCCATTCTTCCTTTTCTCAGGTCAAAATCTTGGTGTCATTCAGACTCCTCTCTTTCAAACTTACTTCCAGTCTATCAGAGAATCCAACTGAATCTACGTTGATAATATATCCAGAATTCATCTGTGTTCCAATACGCCCACAGTACCTCTCTGGGCTGAAGCGTGAACCCTCGGGTCTGGCCTCTAACTCGTCTCTACCTCCACCCTTGCGTTATTTCAATGTGGCAGTCAGAGTAGTCCTTTAACATGGTTAGATAGATTGTGACACTCCTCCATTCAAAACCTTGCAGGGGCCGAAGCCCCTTCCACTGGCCTGCATAATCTGGACTGTTACCCCAGCCTCCCTGCTTGTGCTGTGGCACCCGTGCTCCTGCTGTAGGCTCCTGCTGTAGCTACCCACAATACTCTTGCACTAGTACCCATTGGCTCACTTTTACATCCTTCACATCTTGGTTCACATTTCCCCACTGAAGCCCACCCTGGCCTGATCCACCCCATGTAAAATGCAGCCCCTCTCCCCTCTCTCAGTCCCCTTGGTCTACTCTATTTTCTTACATTTCTTATCTTCTAACATTCAAGATCGGTTTCCCAATTGTTGTCCTTATTATTTCTTGCATGCCCCCCTCCCCTGGAGTCCCACAAGGTTAGGGATCTTGGCACCAACCCCCTAAAAATGGACTTGGCCTACAGTTACCTTTCTGTAAATATTTGTCGCATGCTGCTGAATAGATTAAAGACTGACCATTGCTTTGGTCCAGAGTTTCTCACTGAGCCCTCGAACTTGGGTCATAGTCAATTCTATGCATTTCCTTAGTAGAGAGTTTCCTAGGCTTTCAACCATTTGCATGCCAGTCTCTGGATTATTGCTCCAAGCATAATCTGTATTTTTATTTACTTTATCCTTTTCCTTAATAGAGACTTATTTCTTGACAACTAAATTAATTTTATCAGAATATTTCATATCATGGCTCTGATGTACTAGTTCCATTTCTCCTAATACATTAAAATAAACATATAGCTATTAAATGAAAAAATGCTCATTTGAATTAACTGAGGGCATCTTGCTTAGCTCTTGTGGTGACCTGCCTATTCTTTTCCCTTCCATCAGAAAGGCCTCCAGCTTCTCCCACCTCCTCAAATCCCACTGTCCTTCTCTAGGCAGCCTCGGGAAGCTCCTCCAGCCTCCTTCTCTGAGCTCCCTTCACACTTACAGACAGAATGCTTAACCCAACATGTGGATGCCGACCTCCTAGTATAGTTGGGCTCGTGTGTTGAAGGCATGTTTCCCAATGCAGCAAAGTTCAGAGGTGGGCTTTTGGGTAGTGAGGGAGCAGGAGGGCTCTGACCTCATCAGTGGATTAGTTCATTGATAGCTGAGTGGACTACAGGAGGTGGTAGAAACTCTAGGTGGTAGAGCATGATGGGAGGAAGTAGGACACTAGGGGCATGCCCTGGAGAGGTATTTATTTATTTATTTTTGGTACCAGGGATTGAACCCAGGGATGCTTAAAACCACTGAACCACATCCCCTGCTCTTTTTTTAATTTTTTATTTTGAGACAGGATCTTGCTTAGCTGCTTAGGGCCTCATTAAGTTGCTGAGGCTGGCTTTGAACTTGTGATCTTCCTGCCTAAGCCTCCTGAGCTGCTGGGATTATAGGCGTGCACCCCACGCACCGCTCGAAAGGTATCGATTGACCCTGGCTTCTTTTTCTTTCTCATGAGCAGAGCAGCTTCCCTCTGCTGTGCCCTTCCACCCTGGTGTTCTTCTTCCTTGTCTCTGGCCCAAAACAATGGACCCAGTTTGTAAAAAGCTGACTAATATTCCATTTGGTTTTGTTTTCTGTTTTGCATCAGAGGATAATGAAAGATCTTCCTAGAGCTATACATAAAAGAGATGTCAAGAGTGCTCGACTTCCTTATTTTACAGGCTGTCAAAGATATTAAGGGGCTTTCCCCAAATCACTGCTAAGTAGGGGAAAAGCCAAGTCTTGGGTCTTCTGCTTCTTCACTCTCAGAGGGGGAATCCACCAGCACTTGCTGGGTCCCTGTAATGTGCAGGAGAGAACCGTGAATAGAACAGATTCAGGCCTTACCCAGAGCTTACAGTGTGCTCAGGAAGACGTCACTACACAAACAACCTACGTGATTAAGCAATCACCCGCTTTGGGACTGACAACTCAGCTGCACTGTGGGTTAATTAGGCCACTCGGGTCTCACCTATTTGCCACTGTGCTCAGGGACAAGGCAGCCCAGGAGCTCAGGGACTCTCAGCCTTAGGAGTAGCTCCAGTTTCCACCTTGCTGCATTCAGCTGGATGGTGACAGGAGAGACTGCCAGGTCTGCTCTGGAGACAATCCCTCGGTTTTCAGAGTTTGGGCATCTTGAACATTTTTTGTTGTTGTTTTTGGTATTGGGGATTGAATCCAGGGAATTTTACCATTGAGTTAAATTTTGAGACCTGCTCTTGCTAAGTTGTTGAGAGTCGTGCTAACAGTCTCAGACTGGTCTTGAACTTGCCATCCTCCTGCCTCAGCCTCTCAAGTTGCTGGAACTTTAGATGTGCACCACAACACGCATGTTGGTCATTTTTGCTGAGGGAGTGCCTATGATGTGGCTTTGATGTGTAAAAAAAAAAAATCCTGAGTTTCCGGAAGTGGAAACTCTTAGTGTCATGTGTGAGGCCCATTGCAAAGCCTCAGGTAGCTTCACCTAACTGGTAAAATGCAGGTTCTTCTAAAGAGGATGCACTTTTGTCCCCGTTTTACCATTATATCCAGAGCTTGTGCATTTCCTTGAGATCGTTCGGTGGGGCTGGTTAACCCATGCCTAAGAAACTCCAATTCCATCTGCCTTAGTCTTAGAAAATTAAACCTAACAAGTGATGTGACATGTAGTGATTTGGAACAGGGGTGCATTTAACTGAGAAAGCACTGGAGGCTTCAGCTCTGATTCTACCTCTCATGAGGCTAGGCAACTGGCTTTGTGTTTCTCAGCCTCAATTTCCGCCACTGTCAAGTGCGGACAATAATGACTCCTGTACCTTCTGACATTCTTGAGACAGGAGATGGGAACATATGGGAGAATCCTTATCAGATCTCAAGTGCAACAAAATGTCACTTAAAAATTAACCTCCCGTTATGAATCCTCTTTTGTAAAGTTCACATGGAGGCTGAGAGAGAGAGACGTGTTAGGGCTAGAACAAAGGGTCTCCTGATTCTTACGTTTCTTTTCACCAGGTTACCGTACCAGGGCCTGCCTTCTGGTAGAGCAATTATTGGCAAGAGCAAGTTCCTGGGGAAATTAATAGGGGCTGGGAGGGAAAGGAAGGGAGGAGAGTAGAGGGATCTCCTGTCAGGGTATGGAGAGGGCAGCGGAGGGGAGGGGGCAAAGCTGAGCTCTCTCTTACCTTCTCAGTGTGTGGAGGGGGTGGGATCGGGTCTCCAGGGTTCTCTGCTGCCACCTTTCTTACCCTCTCTCAATTTGCCTATGAGTAGCTGAAGCTGCTTCTAGTATAAAATAACATGCATTTTAGTACATTTTGAAAGGAAAGTTAAGTTTTAATGATCAGTTTCATGCTCCTTGGTATTTTCTTTCAAGCAAAGGCCATGTTTTCATAAGATACTCCACTTCGATGGGGCTATTCTTTTGGCCCCAGCAAACATTCCTGAGTGGTAGGTTTTAGGAAGTGTGCCAGTTTATTGCTTCTGGTGTCCAATAACTTGGGAGGATCTCTCTTCCTACCCCCCGCCAAGGTCATGTTATTTCAGAAACCTCCAGCTCTTCAACGTGTACTCTAATAAAAGCCAGCACCACTAATTCTAAAGGAAAGTGGGCTTTCCAAATAAGACCAGCTGTGAAGGTTTAAAAAAAAAAGGTGTAATTTTAGCAACAGGAGTCCATACACCAAAATTCCACGCAGTTGGACCTCTTCAGGCGTTTTCACAGCCATTTAAAAAGATGTCTTCAGCAAACTCATCTAGGTTAGCTATAAATGCTTGGCATGATGGACATGACGTGTCTGTAGGCCAATATTCAATCCAGGTTGAGGAGTCTAATGGGTAGATGTACCTACCAAGAAGAAATGGAAGCAGAGTTTGTGATGACGGCCACACACAGAGCGAAGAAGCTGTATTAGATCTCCCTGGGAAGAGACTATGGGCAGGTCCCCAGGGCCCCAGCTGTCAGTCACACTCTTTGGAACCAGCCTGGGGAGTGCATAGACCCTTAAAAGATGGTGAGCTGTTTGGCTAAAGGTGGTAATGGCATCTACGTCACGGTCCATATTTCGTAAACAGATTTTAAGGTACATATTTAAACACTTTCTGAGGACAGATTAAGGGAGCTGGTGTGGTGCTCCTGAACTGATTCATCATGCTGGTTCCGTCATCCAGAGGGCCTGTCACCTAGCTGCCAGGTCATTGCCAGCACTTCTTTGTTGTCAGCACGTGTTAGCTCATTTATGTTTGCAATGGTTTCTTGGTAAAGAGCAGGGTGCATAAGAAAGCGTATTGTGCAAATAAGTATGAACTACACTCAGTTTTGGAGGGAAGATCAGAGGCCTCAAACTACTGGTGACTTACTTGAAGCTGAAATTGTATTTTATCTGCAGGGCTTCTTTACCCATAATTAAATACTGTCTTCCTTTTACCAGGTCTGCATTAGCACAGGTGGTCTTTTTGATGAAGGTGATTTCAGACCCTTTCTCAGCGACGGCTTCTCCTGAGAGACACAAGGAAGCTTATCACATTCTTGTTCTCATGCCACAGTTATCAACCCTCTCAAGCATCCAGTTCCTTCTGGCTTCTGAGAGGTTAATGGCCACTGGAGAGCAGCACTAGTCACATGGTTAAGACTTCAGACTCTGGAGCCAGGCTGTCTCACTCAAGCTCTAGCTGTGCCATTTCTTGGCTGTGCAACTCTGGGCAAATATTCTATGCTCTGTATTAAGCACTCAGTCCTTTCCACCTGAAAAATAGGCATAATGATAAAACCTACCTCGTGGAACGTTGTGAGACTCAATGGGTCAATGTGTGACCAGTGCTTAGAACACAGGAAGAATCATGTGTTTGTTATTACTGCTCTTATAGACTGAGAATTATTGCTCTAATAGTTGAACAATATTAATTCCCATGGGTCATATAGCAAAAGAGAAAAGCATTTGGTAGCTGGCAAGGGTCAACTTTGTTGAAAAGAATAAGACATGAAAGACTTGGAAAACTTTAAGGAGAAGAACTGGGATTCCCAAAGGATTCAGAGTCGCCTAGAAGCTGGTTCTTCTTCCCGGAATGCGCTCCTCCCCACGTTGGTCTGTTGAATTCTACCCATCTTTAGACCCACTTTCAATCTTCACAGTATCCATTAAAACTTCCTTGTCTACTCTCTTTTGTATGAGTAATGGGGAGGCTGGAGGCTGCTGGAGGAGAGCTCCACCACTGAGCTCCACCCCCAGCCCTCCCTCACTCCTTTTCTCGTGAATTTCCGTCAGTGTTTCACACCACATGTGTGTCTCCTCATCTAGACTAGAAACTTCTTAAGGCAAGGACTGTGTCTGATTCACTGCTATATATTTAGGACTAATATTTAACTTTTTAAACTCTGGCAGAGCACAGTGCTGCACACCTGTAATTCCAGCAATTTGTGAGGCTGAGGCAGGGGGATCACAAGTCACAAGTTCCAGGCCAGACTCAGTAGTCTAGTGAGCCCCTGTCTCAAAATGAAAATTGAAAAGGGCTGGGAATGTAATTCAGTGGCAAAGCAATTCTGGGTTCAACTCCCAATACCAAACAAGCAACAATCTCTCTCTCTCTCTCTCTCTCTCTCTC